AGATAAAATATATAACTGATAGAAACCTCCTTAACAATTGCTTCGTACAATAAGTTGTCATCATTACGATACATGGAAGGAATTAAAGTCTTCACCGCAACGGCAATCCCGGAAGCCTCAATCATTCCTTTGAATACTACACCGTACGCACCATGAGCAATAGGTATTTTGCGCAACTTAATATCGTTTTCCGGCCAACAATCGATTAAACCCTCTTCGATTCTTCTACGCAGCCATTCTTTATTATTACAATGAAGGTGATTTTTTGGGGAAAGTGTTTCTGAAATACAATCCGAGGAAGTACGTGAGAAGTATTTTTTTCTTGATTTCGTTGACTGTTTCGCAGATAGTGGCTTGTGACCCACTTGCAAATCTGGATTCAAACTTGTTTCCGCGACAATACATGGCTTATTCGGTCGAGGTGCTAAACTCTTTATACGTTCATCTCGGCTTCGTCTCTTTAACTTTTGGATTGCGTTTGTGACTAGTCGCCTATATTTCCCAGTTAGTGGCTTGCAACACGCTTGTAAATCTATACGTGGCTTATTCGATACTAAATTTTCTTCATCCCATTCAATTAACTTTTGAATTTCGCCTAACACTTGCCGATCTGAATTCAAACGTGTTCCCGCGACAGTACATGGCTTATTAGGTCGAAATAAATGGCCTACATCAGTTTGCTGCGACACATATTCTAATTCGGCAAATTTCTTGGCCCCATAGAGGATGAATGCATTTGGTGATCGCGGGAGTTTCTTCACTTTTGACTTGCCATTGGGAGAGTCTTCTTGTGACTGTGGACTAGCAACACCAAACGGCTGTTCAGCTGCCTCTGGTAGATTCGTGACCGTTTGTGGTTTTGTGTCATAGAGATCTCGAATTATGTCGTACGAAACATTAGTTAATAGAACTGCTTTAGAGTTTAGTGTGAACTGTTGTTCCTGTATGTCGTCGTGGGCAAGTTGGTCAGTCAAGTCTACGTCGCTCTGAGCGGCTGGTGGTGAAAAAGCGTCGATGCTGTCTTCGTCTTGGTATATTTGATGATGTATGTTCATGGGGAAAGACTCTGTTTTAAGATAAGAAATAGTTGAAATGGGCCTAAATAAAGGTAGTTGAAAATAATAAAGATATTTATAGTATTTTCGCAAGCAGAGAAAATATTGGTACGCACGAATAAAACAGCTTAAAACACCCATAAAACACACAGATAAAAGCATAAAACGTCTTACAAACTTAATTTTCCATAGGACGTACAACAATAATTTATATGTTGTACATATATTAGAACTTTATTGGGCATTGGCAATAACCATTTATGGTGAACACAATGGGGTGGTGTGAAGAGAGACGGTATATAAAACTGTTACACAAGTAGGAAATCGTGTAATCAATAATTAATAATTAAAATTTATGAGCTGATGCATCCGGCTGAAGCTGAAACTAACCAATGGGGTTAGAGAATAAAATCTGATCAACCAATGAAAGGTCATGGTTTCATCAGCCGTGACAAATAAAACTGCTATCGCGAGGGACTTTTATTCACAAGGTGCTCGCTAAAGCCCAGTTTGAGCTGTTTTTATCTATCTACAATACATGCAGAGGAGCCCTGACAAATAAAACTGCTATCGCGAGGACAAATAAAACTGCCCCAGTAGACTGGAGGTTTTGTTGCAGGAGCGTGATTTCTGTATTACATCTCTGGCCAGTTAAAATATTTTTATCTTTGTGTACATTTTGATTTCCCGAAACGAAACTTGTGCGTGGCTTGCTGGCTAAATCAGAAATTGCTTGGGAGGACAATAACGATAAAATAGATCAACGGTTTACAGTCAAAAATTTTGGTATGTTAACCTCCTTTTCAGATTTGCCGTGCCTCGTGATCTTGCATCTAACCTAATTATTTGCTTCGTGCCTCCTTCCTATTCCATTTTTGTTATTCAGACTAACTTGGATTTCAAAGTTATGGTTAATTTCTTGCTGATCACCTCGCAATTTTATATATATAGTTATAGGTATATATGTCGTGCATAAATCCCGTCATCGTATAAATCCCGTACCACGATTTATACGCATAAATCCCGTCAAAGTACCCCAAAATTGAGAAGGGTCCCTAAACATTTTCTTATTA